TAAGTAGGAGGCCAGCCTGGTCTACAAAACAAGTTCAAGATTACACAAAGAAACCCTGTCTCAAAAACAAAAACAAAACCAATAATCTACTCAGATTAACAAAACTTAGAAATTCATACCTAACTGCTTGTGCCTTTACTAACTCTTCAACACCAGGCTTCTAAACATATTGAATAGGTAACAAAATAAATTTGATAAATAAGGTATATATGATCATCAAGGTTCATAAATTCCTAAAGTCGACTCAGGTTCACAGTAATATTTGTTTAGCTTCTTTGTCTTTGCCCACATTGTTAAGCTTTAGCTATTCGGGTAAAGTCAGTCATACAAAAACCTGTGATATTTTATTTTGATGCTAAAGGTAATTTAACTAAACCTTCACCTCATATTTCAAGGCTCAAACTTAACAGGGATGCAGGGAGAACCTGGTGTCCTGGTCCACTTTAGTATGCTAAATAGGCACTTCAGCTATTTATCCCAGGTTTGGAACCTAACACACCTTTTAAAATATATATTTCTATTTTTAAGTTAAGGTTAGTGTTTAGTATACATGAACTAATAAATGAAAAAAAAAACAACAACTAATTTATTTGCCTATTTTGCTCTTAAACTAGGACTTAAGTTAAGAGTGGTAGCAGAGCTGCTACGCAAATGTGAGTTAGGTTCAACGGTGGAACACCTCCTCAGAGGCCCTCAAGTAGGCTGAGTGAACCTGACATATCAAACCTAAGCTGAAAACAAGCAACATCTATTTCCAAGTCTCATGTGCACAGATAGCCAGGATGAGCAGCACAGACTGTAATCCCAGCACTTGTGAAGCCGAGGAAGGAAGGTCGAGAATTAGAGGCCAATGTGGGCTGCACAGCAATAGTCCACCTTTAAAAAAAAAAAAAAATCTATGTATATGAAGAGCAGTAATTGCAGTTCATGAAAAATGTAACAGGTTTTTAATTCACTTTAAAGATATCAAACATTATGGGCTGGAGAAGATGGCCAGCACTTAAGCGTATTTGCTGTTCTTACAGAAGACCTGAGTCTGGTTCACAGCACCTGTGTGGCAGCTCACAGCAGTCCATGACTCCAGTTCCACGGCTCTCACAGCTTCTATTGGCCTCTGTGGGCTCCTGAACACACATGGGGCACATGTACACTCAAGCACATATACACACACAGACACAAAATTCAATCAACAAAATCCCTCAAAGATGCACTTAATTTCTACACTGAATGTGAAAAACTGTGTACCGTTTATTAAATCTGTGTGCCAGAGACAGGTGCCAATCTAACTGTAGATCCACAGTTGAAGAAACAGGAGTGTGATGTTTAAGGTGATTGATAGCGAACAAGCAAAAACACAAACAAGAAGCAAAATAATAATAATAATAATAATAATAATAATGCAACACCAAAATAGCAACAAAAGCTAAAACAGTAACTCTACTTTGTAATCAAAGCTAAAAAATATTATTTAGGTCAATGTGATAGGGAATTTTGTTTTCTTCCAGTGTTTTCAGATTTTAATCCACTGGTTCTTTTTATTTATTTCTGGTGAGATGAATATCTAGTTTCATTTTTGCTGAATATTTAATTCAGTTTTTCCAACAGCACTTGAAGACAGTATCTTTTCTGCAAAGTAGATTTGTGATACATTAGTTCAAAATCCATTCTCTGTTATAGTGAGATTGTATGTGCATGTTTGAGTATGTGTGCCTATGTTGGGTATGCTTGTGTGTGTCATGTGTGTTTGTGTGTGTGTGTATGCACTTTTCCTTTCAGTAAAACTTGGCTGGTTGCCAGGACCTGGCTTTTTCTGCCTTTTCATTCCTTAACTCAGCAAAGGAAAAGAATCTATTCTGCAACCCTGATAACATCATCCCGAGAGCATCAGCTTCTATGACTCTTAGATGTCCCTTCCCAAATTCTGGAAATGTAAATAAACATTTACAGCTAAAATTTCCGACTATTTCCTTCAATAGCTATGTGTGATTCTATTTAAAGAAATGAGCAGAAGTCTCAATTTGTTCCTTAGATTTTTATTTTAGTATTAGTTAACGAGCAGGAATCAACATTTTAAAGGCTGTCAGTGAGTGTAAGCATGAGTTGTACACAGGGATTCTTGACATTAACTCTTCATCATCAAAACCACTAACAAAAGGATCCATGAATTACAGTCTATAACCCGAAGGAGGAAAGAGAGCCATTTACACGTTTTCTTACTGTGTTCAGACCTTACTCAACACGAGGATGGTTATCACAGATCCAGCAGAGCGTTAAAGCAGTCCCCTACACCCTGTAGTGCTGTTAGTTTTCAAGATGGCAGATGCATTGGAACATGAGCCTTCTATCCGAAGTCATGGTACTGTTTACTCATGTGAACCTAGGCACCAATTTAGCTCAGAAAAGACAAGACCTAAATAAGTACCCCTCCCCCACCCCCGCTAAAGTGCTAGAGCTGAACAAAGACTAAAAAACATCAAAGGAGTAAGTTCATGCTAAGAAGAAGAAAGGGTTTTGTTGTTGTGTTGCTTTGGTTTTCTGTTTGTTCCTCATGATTGTGATGGCTGCCTGCTCATTCCCCCCGCCCCTCCAACTCTCTCTTCTCCCATTGGCTTGCTCCTCACATCCCTGCAACACCCCTTATGTCTGTTTCGTGTGTCCATCTCAGACTGCTTCCTTAGTTCCATGGTTGAACCTCTTGTTTCTGGCTGAAATCCCAACCTGGAATCTCCACATCCCTCTGAAGCTCAGCTTGTCTCAATACCCCTCCTTTTTGTGTTCGCCGACAATACTGGCACTCACTAGGTAAACTTAGACACAAACTTGAGATTTGATCTTACTGTCAATTTTCCCTAGTCTCTTTCTCATCGTATGTTGACTGTGTTTGTGTCTAAGATCCCCTGAAACCATTAACTCCTCTCTGATCTTCTTGGTGCCATGACTGGTCCTGACCTTACCATGTTTTTCTTTATATAATAACAACAAAAGCCTATGCGAAATTCCTGGTCTACTGAAATTCAGAGAAAATCCAGAAACCCTCAAAAGCAGCCAGTAAAGTTGAGTATTTAAGTGCCACAAACACATGCTAGTTTTGTTTTCTTTTAATAACTTCCTATTATCGTAGACCATCAATGCTGACCCGCCCAGCCTGGATTACAATTTTTGAGTCTGGTCAGTTTGTCTACAGTGTCTGCTCCCATCCTGCACTCTCATCGTTTTTTATGCTGGTTTCTAAACTACCATAACTTTGAAATTGTGTGACATTTCACAGCCTTTCACTCTGGCACAATTCTGTTGAGCATTTTCTTTGTAGAAATTTATTCTTTTTTTCTTCCTTTCTTGTTTCTATCTTCCGTGTCTATGTTATGTTTACATAGCACAGGCTGACTGTGATCCTGCAAGTCCTCCTCACCTACCTTGTGCTGAATTATTGACCTGGGGTGCCATATCTGCCTAAAAATCTTTCTTTACTTATTCATCTGAAAATGTTTTTCCTGCGATAATTTCACTGACCACTTCATTCTGCTCTGCCACCAATCTTTTCTTACATTTGTTTCCGTGCATCATTTGTTAATCAAATACTAAGGCTTCACCAATGTAGTCTCTGATGTTCTGAAGTGATTATAAACTTATTTCTAAGATGCCACCACTAGCATTTGAGACCTATTAACTTATTTATGATATAGGAGTAATAATGCAATATGCAATATAATTGGATTGTATAAAGATCCAAGGAACAAAATCCCAAGTTTTATGTTTTATTCCATGTGCCATGGTGGGTTTTGGCTAGAAAGGACTTTTTTTTTTTGTCTCTTACTAACTTGCTGCCCACGTTACTGTGGACAGCAAGTTTCTCTATTCATTTTGAGACTAAAATAATCAAAAGAACATTTGTGGCAGTGGGGATATTTGAAGCACAGAGAGAAAAAAGTAAAATCGAGGATGAAGAGGAAGACAGAGGGTGGGATGGTCTGAGACAGAATAATCCGATACCAAGTTCTTGCCTCATTCTGCTCTGTACATCCCATCTCTGCAACTTACATTCCAAAGAGCATACACTTAGCACCCATAGGATGCATGCCAAGAGTGTCAAAGTAACGTTAAAGAAAGGCTTGTGTGCTACAGAGAAACGGCGTTGACCTTGCATGAACATGAAACCGCTGTCCTCTGAAGAGGCTGACATTTGACACTGAGTCTCCTATTTTGGAGACGGCTGAACAGCAAAGTTCAGAACACACCCTCGAAGGTCTTCCCCAGAGCCTTACTACTCACACTGCCCATCAGGAGACAGACCCAGGCATTCACGGGGAGAGAGAGGTGCTAATTCCGACAGTTCACTCACTGTCTGGCAGTCCCTCACAGGTGACCCCAGTGCAAGGATTCTGTTTTCTGGGAAGCTCTTGTGTATCAGTGACACTACATACTTGCGTTGGGCTCATAAAATAATGCAAATATTGCAAAAGTAAAAGATGGCTAACTGCTAGTATTGACCATAAAAAGAAGAAAATCCTCCAAATCCAGGCAAGATAGAGCTCTTAGGAAGCAAACATAAATGAGATTAATCTTAATTCAAAAAACTAATGTAGTAATTGAATATATTAAAATGTGATGAAAATTTTATTCATATTTAACAGGTTAAATATGAAAAAATTCATTTGATAATGAAATTTGGAATGCATATATGTCTAATCCTGAGGCAGGACTCAGGGCCTTGTACAGACTAAGTGATTATATGTTCTGCCACTGAACTGTCCCCAGGCCAATTGAATTCTAAATATTGGTTAAACATGTTTTAACCATACTTAACCATAAAAATGTTTTAAATAGAGTTATCTCACATGTCAAGAATTGGACAGATTTTTATAAAATTCAGATTTGAAAATCTGAAATGAGACAGGAATGAATAGTTCTAAGCATGAATCTCATCCACGCTTACAGTAATGTAAATTTCCAGAGAGAATTAAAGCTACATTGGATGTAGAATGTCTTAGATCTGTGAGGTCTTAATTTCTCGGGGCATCTGGTCTGCTGCAAATCCACTTTTTGAGCAAATGGCTGCTGGCGCTGCTGATGCCACTTTTGTGTAGATAGGCGTATTGTCCTCTACCACTGATCTTAAGCCTGCAACAAAATAGAGAGGGAAAAGGCCACAGAATTGGAAGTGTTGGAGAAAACATGTGTTGCCTATTAACACAATAGTTATCAGCTACTAATCACACTGAGTTCATTTTCTTTTTTCTGACCTAAAATGTCACTTCTTATAAATGAAAACAGCTCCATTGTCAGGTCCCAAAGAAACACTGGACAAGGCTCACTTGGTGCCTGTGGCTTCTCTCGCCACTTCCCACCCCACCCCTACGCCAAGCCTCTCCAGCCCAGGGGCTGGGCTTCACTTCCTTTCCTCAGCTTCTGCTTCCTATATAATGCAGACAGCCATTTTGGCTATGTGCCCTGTCGGCTCTTGGCAGTCTAAACATTGGTCTCCTTCCCCTCTCTTTTTTCTTGCTCTCTTCTCTTCCTCTCTTGCTCGTGTTCAGTCTGGACTCTTCCAGATGCCTCTGACTGTTCTCTCCTTCGTATCTACGATAAATAAAACCTTTGTCCTCAGCTCTTCCTGAGAGAGGTCCTGTCCTCGTTTTCATTCAACTATAAGAACATCCTATAGCTTATATATTGTGGGAAGGGGGGATTTGTTGTTAAATATTTTGTGCTACATAATATTAGGTTTTCAGGATATGGGGTGGGGGAGGTCAGCGGTTTTACCTAGAAAATGGATTTGAACTCTTGGTATGTCTATCCAAATCAAAATATACAGTGACTAGAAATCATTGTGTCTGGAATATCAAAAGCACTAAATTGCTGTGTCAATGATGACCATCCCCTCCCACCCCGGTGTCTGTTTAGACTTCCCCACAAAGAAAGCTTCCAAGAGAAAGGTATTCTCCGCAGTGGGGAAGGCTGTGTCCAGGGTTCGGTGTGAACTCAACGGAAACTTACCTACTGCTGTACACGGATCCGTCTGCCCACTGCCACTCTGCCCCTTGTTCTCGACTCAGTCCAATCCAGTAATGAGAATGGTCTGTGTAGCGCTTCAGGAAGTCCTTCGGTAAGGAGTGTTTGTAGGATACACATCAAATGCTCCGTTATATATCTCAGATTGTACAATCAGCTCAGTGTCCTCTTTACAGAGCTACAGGCTGCTTTGTTTGGTAAAGATCTTAGGGATCACATTGCTTTCACCTGGCTCAGAGGTTTTCTCTGCAACAACCTTTTCAGGAAACAGTGGATTTGACCTTCTGGAAGACATTTTTATAAGGAGGACATGATCTGGTCTGTGTGGGCTTGGTGTGTTTGATAGTGTTGGTCCCCTTGATTATGGCAGAACTTTGGTTCTGCAATACTTGAATAGTTACTAGTTCATTCAAGTTTCATATTTTAGATAGCCTTATAGTTTCTTCTGATGTGCTTTGCTTTCTAACATGATTGCTCTAGTTTGGCTTGCTAATTGCTGATAATTGCTCTTCTATCTCTCACCATTACCTGATTTAACACTGGCAGAAGTGTGTGCACATGCTCAGACATGACCCTGTAAGCAGCCGCTACACTTTGCTGCTTTTGAAAACAAGATCATTTGTTTACCATTATGCGTGGGCATGTCAGTTTTTGTGCACTATATGCAGAGATCGAAGGACGTCAGACCCTCTAGGACTGGAGTTTCAGGCACTTGAGCTGCCTGAGGTGGTGCTGGGAGCCATAGCGGGGTCACTTGTAAGAACAGTACAGGCTCTGAAATGCTCACCCGTCTCTCCAGCCCCCGCTTTGTTGCTTTTTAAAAAAACCAGCTTGGTAAATTTTCTCTTTGGTTTTAGGTAAAACCAAAAGTTTAAATAAATACATTTAAATGAGTTAAACAGACTCAGTTGATTGCAACTGTTGCTAGGGTTAGGTTCAGATTTATTAATGACGATTTTTCTAACTATCCTTTTGTCTTTTTCTCCTTTTCTTTTATTTTGTTTTAATTGTTGGGTTAATTGTTTTTTTGTCCTTGGTTGGTTTGGACAGGATAATCTGCATATTGTACTGTTTATGAAATTAGTCTATCTATACTTGTTTTACATTCTAGATTGTCACAAGCCACTACTTAGTTAATGCTTTACACAATTATCAATATTGACAAAATGTAAAATATTTGTGGGGAAATTATTTGTATTTTCATGCCTTTAAATCTCCATAGTTAGTAATTGTTTTTATTAGAAAAGTTTAATCTTTTCAACTTTTCTGCTATCAATTCTGTTTATTACAAAAAAAAAACAATTGCTGGGCAGTGGTGGTGCATGTCTTTAATCCCAGCAGCCAGATCTCTGAGTTAGAGGCCAGCCTGGCCTACAGAGCAAGTTCCAGAACAGCTAGAGCTGCACAGAGACACCCTGTCTCGAAAAACAAACACCCACTCCTAATTTTTCTTATTTTAATTTTTGTGTATGTATGTATGTATGTATGTATGTATGTGTGCACGTATGAGTGTGTCTCTATGTACGCATGCATCTGTAAGCACGCCATGGCTTTTGTGTGGAGGTCAGATGACATTAGGCATCAGTCCTTACTGTTGGAGACAGGATCTCTTGTTTGCTCTTGCATATGCCAGGCTAGCTGGCCCACAGCCCTGTGGATTCTCCCGTCTCTGACTCTTATCTTGCCATAGAGAGCTGGGATTACACGTGGGAACTACCATGCCTGGCTTTTCGTGGTGTGGTTTACATGAGCTGTCGCCCATAGTGTCAAGCATTTGAATACTTGTTCCCACGTTGATGACACTATCTGAGGAAACTTAGGGGAGATGGTTTTATCAGAGGCAGTCTGGTTTTAGCTGGAGGCAGCCGTTGACAGTTACAGGCTCATGGCATTTCCAGTTTGCTCTCCCTGGTTCCTACTTGTGCTTCCAGTTGTGAGCCAGCTGTCATGACACAATCTTTCCCCTCAGGATCCATAAGCCTAAATAAACTGTCTCTTCTAAAGGTTTCCTTGGTCACGATGCTTTATCGCATCAATAGAAAAATAACTAAGACACATGGGTTCTGGGACCTGAACTCAGGTCCTCATGTGTGTAGAGCAAACACACCGAGTTCTTACCCTCTTGCCAGCTTTGCTGTTTCCATTCTTCATTTATTATTTGGTTATTTCTCCTTGAGTCTGTGTGTGTGTGTGTGTGTGTCTTATTAACTCTGACATCTTACATTTTTTATTATTTCTGTGTATGGGTTTGAATTGTGTGATTTTAGGTTTATTACCGTTTCCTGTGCCACCTTCCCAGGTCTTGTTTAAACGGGGTCATTATTTTCAGTATTTCTGTCAAACACTTCTCTCTGATTATTATTATTTTTCACATAAACTCATGAGAGGCACTTCTCATTTGTGCGTAAGGAGGTAAATAATAGTCAGTTATTGGAGTTTTGTCATGGTTTCTGAGTCCTGAACTGTCGAAAGAGGTTTTGAAGTTTTCTTGAATGTTGTTATTCTGTTTCAAAGCTAGGTGATCGTGTGGCTGGACTTCTCTGAAGAGTAGCTCGTTCTTTCTGATGTGTGATCGTATATAAGCTGCTCTACATAGGATATGGTAAAACGCTTCTGATACCTTATCCCCACTCCCAGCTGAGGTCCACAATGGAGGCCATTTCAATATCTATGCATAATTTGTATCATGAGGGTTGTATCATGACCCACCTGTGCTCTCACCCCAAGAGGCACCGTTTCTCTAGTCAATTGAGCTCATATAAAAAGTGGCCTCCCCTGCTCTGGGTAATGGGCCTCTTTTCTACACTTTCTACTGTAATTGCATCTTTTATAGACCACCTGTAACCTCTGGATATGACTGTTTTTGTCTTACCAGTTCTTTTGTGGTATTGAATACTGCAAGAGTCGCTGTGTGAGAGGCACAGAAGTTCTGGCTTGCACCCCATGTCGTTGTATTTTCAGAAAAGTAGAAGCACTTTCGTTGGTAACCAATCCAGTCATCCAGGCATGGTGGAGGATAAGTGGGAATTTTCTGTTTTTCAACTTAAAATGATTTAACAGAATGTTAAGTATTGAAGGATTTTAAGGCCCTGAAATTCTTTTACCAAGGCATAGCACAATGTAATTTTAAACATTTTTTTTTTCCTCTCCACATGAATACGATTTTGGAGACTAGTTTCAGATCTTTAATCTGGAAGGTTCAAGGATGGCATTAGTTACTGATTTTTTTTCATCAAATTGTATTTCTTATTAGTTTGAAGAAAATCCTTGGTAGAAGCCAGTCAAGCAGGTGGTGTATTGTTCACTTCCTACATGGCTGAACTTGTTTGCATGACATTATCTTTCACTACCGTAGTGATAACTGTTGAATTGCTATCTCCGACCCTGGCATCTTCTCAAAGATCTGCTACCTAAAGTCATACTATGGAAATTCATTCATCCATTCAATGACAGCAAACCTGTGAGTGTGCACTATTGTACTTGTCTGTTGGAGACATGGTTTCCTTCATTGTTGTGCCAAACCACTGGGGGGAAAACACTACAAATTCAACAAAAGATGCAGAAGGAATCTTTCTAAGAGAATTATTACCCCCCCCAATGCATGTTGAGGGGAGATGTTCTATTTCAGAGGTGAGGTTTTGAGCGTACATTCTTTCCTTTTATTCCTTACTCCTTTTTATGTGCTAGACACATAGTGGTCCGGCTTGAGCTTCTGAGAGAGAAGCAGGTGATGCTAAGACTGCTGTAGTCATTTATGGCAGCGGAGTTAGCACATCACCCAGCGGACTCCCAATGACCCGGGATATCAGGCTCGAAGACAGGCTATTTGGGGTTTCCATCCTAGCGTGTACTTTTAATGTTTGTGAACTTGAAGAGTGGAAAAATGTGTTGAACAGAGACAATAATTAAACAAATGACCTAGAATGATTCTCCCTTTTTCTAGAGAAATAAAGAAGGTCATTAAGGCTGACAAGTAGAGATCAAGAGAGAGCTGAAGCCAGAGGATAGGCTAAAGCTAAGCCTTGCTTATATGCATGCTATTTCTAACCTTCAGCTAAAGAACTGACTCAAAACTACATGTGCTTCATTTCTGTCATATAATTTCCTTCATACTGAAGATCTTGTAGTGTTTACACGTGCCATAAGATAATGCTCTGTATCATGTCTGGGCCTTTGCTTATGATGATAAATCGTCCACAATTCTAGGTCCTTCCCATGGACAAATCTCAATCTTCATCTCCATCGAGCTGTAAACTATGTTAGTGTTTGGTGGTGACCTATTTTGTTAAAGCCTGACCTTACCTAGGAGCCTCCTCTCCCGAAACCCAGTAGAACTGAGCAATATTCTTTCTTATGTTCTTTGCTTTTAATAAAGTGTTGAGTTTAATGTATCATAGTTATAATGATACTTTTTGCCTCCTTGTTTTCTGCATTAGTATTGATGATTATTTCATGGCTGTTGGCAGCATGTGGCAATGTATGTAAGTAATGTATGTACACATACATTACATCTTTCTATTACATACATACATACATACATACATACATACATACATCTTTCTATCAACAGCAGACTGCACATCTCATTGGAGTCTCCTAAGACTATATCTTGTGTTTACTGTATTCTTGACTACATCAAGATGCTACAGTGATTACTGACCTAAACCCTCTAAGTTCATGTAAATATAGTCAATGATGTGTTGTATAATCATGGGGTCATCTAATAATTCTCAGATTAGATTTTGTACTTGTTATAACGTAGCCTGTCTATGGAGAATTAATTTGCCTTGAGATAGATAACTGTCATGCACCCACCCTTCTCAAATATACTTAAGTGCAGGAATAAATTTCACTTTGGTTCCAGAAAAGTGTTTGACATATTATACATTTTAACCTAAGTATTAATATCTATTGAATGGAAAAGCTATTTGTTAACTATTTATAAAACTATAAAATAAAGCATTTATTCTAAAGCACAAAATCAGTCATCCAGCCTCGGCTATGATTTTGCTATGTTTATTTTTTGTCTGCTGAAGTGTGCCCAAGTATGCCTTACTTTTGCTGAACTGTTTTAGAATACCAAGAACTTCTAGTGCGGTAAGTGACAGTAAAAATTACCTAGTCAAATAAGGTGATCTATTGGTGGGGAGTCTGAGTTGACACCTGCTCAACAACTTAACCGAGCAAAAAACCAAACAAACAAACAAAACCAGCCAAACAAACAAAAACCTGGTCCTGCTGTTGGATAACACAAATTATCCATATTTGTGTGATCTGGTTATAGGAGAGTCTTTGGACATAGCTCCAACCAGGGAACCAGCAGGAGGTCCCTGGGAAGGCCACCGAGGGGGAATCAGCAGCACATTCTGAGGATGAATGACAGGCAGCCTGGGCAACGCTCTTTCCCAGAATGGGATGACACACGGCAGAGAAAACCCATTTAGAAGACTGCAACATTGTTGGTGACATAAAGAAAAATGAGTCAGAAGACACTGCTATAGACTGTAATGCCATTCATTATCTGTTTCTTATAAGAAAAGCGGACAACACTGTTCCCACTTCACTGGGTAACTCAAAACTACGAGTGAAATATTGTATATGAAAATATATTGTAAAGCATGGTATGATATACATATATGTATGTGTATACAAAATTGGAAAACATGTTCATTACTGTGTTTGGAACTATGTGTCTTTTCTAGCTGTGTGTAAAATGATTAACTTTTATACCGTCCCACAGGGAAGTGAATGTCTGTAATTAACGATTTTTCTGGTAATACTGATGTCTCCTTGGCTCATTTACTTCCTCGAACAGACATCATCACCCCATGACCTAGTCACAGATGTCATTGCTTATTATCTGACTCACAGAAGTTTCTATTGTATAAGTACCATGAAGATTAAAAACTATAATTTCTTCCTTCTTTTTCAACATCTAGTCTTGTGCTCAGTTCAAATAGCAATGTTCCTTCCCCATTTCTCACTCTCCCTTTTCATGTAAATATACACACATACAGTATAAAAGCATATTTACATATAGTATTTTACATGAGTATATATAGTCATGAATATATCTTCATGTATAGCTTAGCAAATCATGATACCTAATTTATAGAATAAGCTTCATTAATTTCTCCATAGCTATATAAACTAAGGTGTAGGTATGTACTTGAATATGTATAAAATACTTATTTTTATCAATTATCATGTTTTTATTACTACATATATTCTTGTGAAACCCACATGCATATTTGTGTATGTATGCTTATATCTATATAACTGTATATAATTTTTCAGTACTTCATTACAATTATTTTAAGTTGTTAAAAACCATTAGAATAAGTTCACATTTGCTACCAGGGAGAGGAGAGATTGCTTTTAGCATAATAATATTTTAGTATTAGGGATGTAGCACTTGGTTCAGATGCATGAGTCCTCAAAGTTCCATTCTCACTACTACCAAGAAAGAAATCCAACCATAATATTGCATAGAAATGTGGCCATTAGAGTGGCCACATCTTCCTGACATTTCTCTACAGTGTATTCATTCATACTGATACTTTGTGACTTGTGATCGGAACCTGGACATGTGGTCCCACTCTTACGAGCTGCCCAGAAAGAAGAAATCACCTTGAACTCAGAATCCTTTTTTTTTTTTTTTTTGGTGGTGGTGGTGGTGGGTGGGGGGTGGTGGTGGTGGAGTCTCTCTATGTAGCCCTGGCTTTCATGCAACTCGCTCTGTAGACCAGGATCCAGGCTGTCCAGGAACTCACAGAGATATGCCTGCCTCTGCCTCCCCAGTGGCGCATGCCAGCATGACCAGCTTCAGAATTCATTTAGATAGACATAGCCACCTGCTAAAAGCAGCTGGGAGGAAAAATGCTAATCTTCACATCAGAGTATATATGAGTCAGGATGGGTTAGTTCATCAGCAGTGCAGGCCACGGATTGCTAACAGTTTTAAGAACTGTGGAAGCATTATACGTGAATGAATTGTGTCATGACACATGGTTAGTTCTGGGTTTTGTTTGTTTGTTGTTTGATTGGTTGATTTTTAGATATGGTCTCAAATCATCCAGGCTGACTTCAAACTCACTGGGTGGCTGAGGAAGGCCTTGAACATGTCTTACCACGGGGGTTAGGATGATAGAGCTACAAGCTACGCACCGTTATAGACCGGCATCACCACCTAGCCCAGTTTTATTCTCTTTCCTTTCTTTTTGTTTGCTTTTATGTGTGTGTGTGTGTGAATGCATTTGCATATATATATATATACACACACACACATATATGTACACATAAAGTATGTCATGACACATGCCAGAGTACATGTGTGCAGATGAGACAACTCTGTGGAGCTGGTTCTCTCCTTCCACCATTACATGGGTTCTGGGGATCAAACTCAGGCTGCCAGGCTTGCACCAGCGCCCTCACCCGCCGAGCCAGGTCTCCAGGCCATTATTTTTCTACACAAATATTTCCAGATGAAGAAGACAATGTAGAAGAAGACAATGTACGTCTTGCCCCCCAGCTTCTCACCTGGTAAGACATGTAACAGATACCGAAGGAAACCTCACACATTTGACACGTGGCATTCGGCACAGCCACTATTATCATCTCAGAGAAGAGGAATCCATGCTTCTTCCCTGCACAGCTGGCTCCCAAGTTATGGTGGTCCAGCTTAGGCTCCTTCAGCTTCACAATGACATGGAAGCAACGCTGATTCAACAGGAAACGCTCTGCAGGGTTCGAGCCCTGATCTTTTCTTAGACCAACAACATGCATCTACAGGACTCTCTTGCTGTGCTTGGTGGCAGCAGTGACCACAGCCCCTAGTCCCTTACGTATTCATGGGGGTGAGTAACTCTACGCTATAATGTGTTACTAAGTTACCATGCTGGGTAACGAGTATATCAAATGAGCTTTGTACATATGCTATCTTCGCTTTGTGATGGGCTTATCAGGATGAAGACAAGAAGAATCTATGGGAAGATGAGGATCAAGTGTGGTCTGAAGTACTAGTATCCGACTTAGGCATGGCAGACACAGAGAATGAAAGACTTCCCAAGGACAGGCGACCCACCTGCTAATGTTGCTGCCAGCGCTAAGATCACCAAAAGGAAGACGAAGCTTGTGACTTCAGGGATGTAAAGTCTCCTTTTGCTCCTGGTTTGGAATTCTTGAGACTCTGTTGGATGGGTGGACAAGGTACTATTTCGTATAAGAAATTTTAAGCAGGTCTTTACTCCTGCGAAGTGTGATAGCCTATGACGTGCGAGCCTATATATACAAACCAATAGTATCTACATACTAGCAGTTATTAGTGTAAACTAAAGTACGAGATACTATAAAATATAGCATGAAGTATTCATTACACATGGACAAATCTGGCAAAAGGCATGCAATCTCTGGCCACTGGGAATGACACAACATTGTTGAGAGAAACAGACACAAACAAAATGGAGGCTGTTTTCATACATTAAGAGACATTGTATTGTTAAGATATTAATTCCACCAAAATTAATCTAGAGATTTGTGATAATTCCCAGCAAAGAATTATCAGCAGGTTTTGATTGTTGTTGTTTTGGAAGACATTGGCAGACTACTTATGTAGTAGTTGTGAAAATGGAAAGAAACTAACGTATATGAAACAACTTTGAAAAAGAATTCTCTCAGAGGACAAGCATTGCAAGGTCCAAGGACATTTAAGCTGGAACTATCATGATTTTGGTATAAAGACAAATATAAGACATATAAATGAATGCACACCTGTATAGTCATTAGATTTTGATAAAGATCTCCAAAACATAATAATTTTTGTAAGTAGTACTGGAACAATGGGATTTCAATCTAAATTTCAACCCATTGACACAAAGAAACAAAATGGATCAGAAAGTAGAACTTCTGGGATAGAATGGGATATGGAGAAAATTCTTTGTGGCCTTGGATAAGTAAATATTTCAGGATAAAATATCAGAAAATAACACATTGGATTTCCTAAAAATTAATAACTTTGGGTCTTCAAAAGATGGTGTTAGGGAAGAAGAGACAATCCAGAGACTTCAAGACAGTAGCTGAATTTTCCACATTTTACAAAGGACTTGTATTTAGTATATATGACCTCTTAGTATTTAATAAACAACACATGTCAAAGACAGTTTAAGGAGAAGTGCAAAAGAGATACATCCTAAAGAAAATACATGGATAAACAATCGCATGTAATTTAAAATATTCATTATTACTAGTCATCGAAAAAGTACAAAGTAGGGGCTGGCAAGATGGCTCAGTGCTTAAGAGACCTTTCTTCTCCTGCAGAAGAGCTGAGGTCAGTTCCCAGAATCTACATCAAGTGGCTTATAACTACCTGAGATTTCAGCTCCAGGGCATCCGATGACCTCTTCTGGACTCACCCAACACACAACTCCCCCTTCCCCACAGATACACATATAATCATAAATAAAAAAGGTAAAATTTTAAAAAGTACAAATTAAAACCAAATTTTTAAAAATCACAATACTTGATTTTAATTAAGAGTGACTGAAATTAAATCCACCCTGCTACCTACCATACATTGTTTATGCCTCAGGTTAGGGACGAAATGTATACAGTGGTGGCCCCATACGTTTATAAAAAAGTAAAGAAAATTTCCGTGGCTTTGTCATTTGTTGTTACAGCGATACAGTGCAACTCATGACTCACATATGCAACAAGTCCCAACAACAAGTGCCAGCTCACATATGCGACAAGTGCAGGCAAGTCCACTGCACAGCAGTGGTATAAAGTATAGCACATACAGTATGTACAGTACATCGCTGACAGTGCTGAAAACCATGTTCCCGCCTTACCTATTTGCTACACTCTTTTAACAGCCATTTTAGAGTGTATTCCCTCGAATTTTAAGAACAAACTGTACCAAAACATAAAATGCTGTTCTATCAGGCAAGCTGCTCATAAAAGTTTTCACATCTCTTGGGCTCAGGAAGAGGCTACATTAAATGATTAACCTTAGCCAGGAAATAACTCCAGTTTTGGGAAGGTGGAGGCAGAGAAGGATTAGGAGCTCAGGGCCACCTTCACCTACATAGCAAGTTTGAGGTCAGCCTGAGCTACAGGGGACCCTGACTCAAAGCAAAGAAACAAAATAAAATAAAAGGTGGATTCTGCATGACCTACATTTGTGTAGTTACATTCTTCTGTTTGCACAATGATAAAATCACCTACCAAATCACCCTTGGAGTGTGTCTTTATCCCTGCTAGATGCCTAAGTGCATTGGGAAAGATGTGAAAGGGCCAGGATACCCATCTAGTTTTTATAAAAACAACATTGAAGTTTCTTACACACACACACACACACACACACACACACACACACACACACACCTGTATGAAAGCTTGTCCATTCTATTCATAGTTGTTTTCCCAACAGAAATGGAAGCACATATATAGAGTTACATATACACATATACAATAATTTTTACTGATTTGTTCACAGTAGAACCAGTCCAGAAATAGCCCAAATGTCCATCCAGAATGAGTTAATGAATAAACATATATTCTACTTAGTGATAAAAGACAATGAACTATGAGAGTTCAAAGAGCATGGCTGTATCTTAAATAATTATGCTGAACAAAGGGTGCCAGGGAAAATGAATACATATGATTGGACTCAGTCTTCATAAAGACCTCTGAGCCTTCATATATGCCTGACTCACCTGAAGATTGAAAGTCCCCTGAATTCGTCAGTTTTATCTCCTCACTCATGTCTCTTGTCAAGTTAAAAGAAAATATGTAACGTTGCGATAAGCACCGTGGATTCAGGATCAGGTCCACTGCTTCTTGGATTTAGCTCCAATTGCTCAGATGAAAAAGGCCTAAAGCAAGATTATCATGATTACATAAATGGGATGACTAAAGCTCCTCAGAACTGTGATTGACCTTATAGCTTCTTAAAAATTCAGCACATTCCAAACCCATTAATGTCCGTACATTGCAAAGAACAGCTGACTCAGCTGGAGACACTGAACAGATTCTTCAGTTGACCTCAGTGGAGGGGAGGGAGGCTCAGCTATCAATAAAGTCAACAACTTGGGTCTCCACATTATCACTCCAGCTTAACAACATTTTTTTTTTTTACTTAATATTATCAACCACACTTTCTGTCCTAAGCTGTTTGGGCATGAAATAACGGCATTCAGTTTAAGAGAATCAAGTTTTCCTTAACACCAAAGATAGCAACACTATGAGAGATCGTAGACACCAATATTTTGTATCTGATGCACGAGAGACCAGGTGTGAGCATGTGAGCTCATGATACGCAGAGCGTTAGACTCACAGTGTTTTCAGGCAGTTGGTTCTATGGTCATCAATTCACAGATGTGCTGGTCTTCTTAAACTACTAGAGAAGTTGAAACCCTTCTTTAAGGAAACAGCTAATAATGTGGTTGTTAGTACAGGGCTCGATTCATGGCCTTGGGGCCCCTTTACTTTAGTAAACCTCACAGATCAGAATGACCTGTCAGCTTCTCTCCCAGCCCTCCTACCTCCTGTCCTTCTTTTGTCATATTTAGCAGTAGCCATGCATGATACCATGAGGCTCTGCTCATGCAGCCACTCAGAGAAACTCCAGTGATTATTCGGCTCTGCTGTGAATGTCCTCAAATGCGGAGCTGATGCTACCATTTCTCAAGATCATCCAAGGCACTGGCCTACCATGTCAAATTCAGATAATTAACAATTGTGTAATATTATATGTTACAGCTAAAGACTAGCACATGACAGTGTGATATACAAACAATCAGTGAGCTGAAATTTTAAGCTGGGCTTAAAAAGAGTAGCTTCTGATTTTTATGTTGAGTGAGTAAAATCAATCAGGCTTATTCTAAGCAGTTTTTTCAAGAGGCAAAGCAGTTGTACATATGTGACACACACACATGCACACACGTGTGTGTGGGTGAGGTGTGTGTGGGAGGAAGCACCTTTTGCTTCCACTGAGAGAAACTGAGAAGTCACATTGACAAAGGTGTAAGACTGCCAGGAGCAGGGCCCACCGAAGAACACCGCTGCCCGCTGAAGCCCTTGCTGAGGCTCCCAGTCAAACCTTCCTTTCCTCTGCAATTGTCGGTCTTTTTGCTGGTGCTTGCCTTGTTCACTAAGTTTTCCTAGGCCTACTACCTTTGTCAACCTGACACTGTCACGCGGCTGCACCTTATGGGACCACGGGCCTTCTCACAGTGAAGGGTGCTTCCTTGTTCATCTCTTTCAAAGAGACTGAGCTTGAGGAGAGAAGGAGAACTGACCCCAGCGATTGTCACTAAATACTTAGCAGAAAGAGTAATTGAGGGGCTGGATAGATGGCTCAATGGCCAGAAGCTACCGGCTGCTCTTACGGAGACTTATTGCCAATACCCACCTGGAGTACTGAAAATCATTCCGTGGAGTATTGCATTTGGGAGTATTGCATTTGACTCGCAGCATGGCGTTTTAGAAATTTTATGTGTATGGTGTTTTATCTAAATGTATGACAGGTCACTATACTATACCATACCATACCATACCATAATATACATATACATACTATTCTATACGTGTGCCTGGTGCCTGCAGGGGGCAGAGGAATACATCAGATCCTCTGGAGTTGGAGATGGTTGGGAGCTGCCATGTAGGGCCTGGGAATTGAACCTGAGCCCACAATTATCCGAATTATCCACTCTACTTCCGGAGGTCTGCTGCTCTGTTCTGGCACATTGGACACTGTACACATGTGGTACACTTACATACATGTAAGCAAAGCACTTATACACATGAAATAAAAACAAATACAAATGCCTGAAAAAGTAAATGAGTGTTTCAGCCCCTTTTACAGTCCCCAATTCGATGCTCCTAGGCTTGGCCATTCTTCTAAGAAACAAATCTATTTTAATTCTAAATTAAGGATTTGTTTGTGTTTGTACTGTTTTCTGTTCACTTCCTTTATTTCAAACTAAGTTATTCCCACTACTCCCCAGGTACCTAAAAAGTATAAATCTCTCTTGAAATTTTCTCCTCTCCACTTTCCCTTCAATTTTGAGAATGGTGTTGAAATCTCCTTTTGATCTGTTTTTGACTAGCAAACCCTGAATTTTATTTTGGAAGAGGGGGCAAATTATATCCTGCTAAATAAAGAGTTACTTACTAATTATCAGAAATGTTTACTACTTATCAATTGATAAGCTAATCCCTGCATCACTCTACAGCACCCACGTGGTTATTTCCAATCTGAAACTACGCCATTTTGTTACTTTGAGATTTGCTTGTTAGGTTTCTCTAAGCCATTCATTCAGTTCAGAGTTCCAACAGTGAGCCACAGAAATTTAAGAGAAAACAAGAAACCTTCTTTTTCAAAGGCATTCCTATGCCAGGCCAGGTCCCAAATCCTCACAGGAGTCCTCTCCACCGTTTTTCCTACCTGAGTTACTCCTTTCTCAGAGTTGTTGACTATCCAAGTGCTGACTCTGCAAAAGCAAGATGTTCCCAGAGGTATTCTGATGTTCTCTCACAGCCCAGCTCTCATCACTGCACTTCCGTCCTCTGCTGGATCGGAAGTAACAAGCAGTGAGTGATTAATATATGCACAGCTATTAGAAAATGGGAGGGGAGTGACAGCTGAGCTAGCAACCCCAAACCTCAGGACTTAGAGAAGTCCAAACCATTGCGGGTCAGGTAAGAAAGGGGAAGAGAAGCGAAACCATAATAATGTTAGGGAAAAACTCCAAGTGCACAGGTGAGAAGTGGAAGTGCCCTGGAAAGCTACTTCTGACATCTCAGAACCCTTAACTGCTCCATCCCATGGGGAAAGCCACTCTCTGCCATTCCCTTATTTACATTCTCATTTGCATTTGAAATAGTCACCCCTTCTCACAGAGAAGGTAAGGTTTATTTGTGGACTCTTCATACATACATATTACTTTGGCTTTTATATGTAGACAGACCCTTCTGATATCTTCCTAAATCCCTGTTGTTTGAAAGTCAACATATAAAATCTTCCAGGTGAAAAAATTTCATTCTAAGCCAGGGGAAAAAAAGGTGGTTGTACCCCCACATTCTTGCCCAACCAACCCAGCACTTCCCTTCAAGTTTAACAAGGAATAGCAGCTACTGGGTATGAGAAATGCATTTCATAATACTAAAGAAGGACCAGAAAGATAGCTCAGCTCAGCTGTGGCTCTTCCAGAGGACCTGGGCTCACTTCCCAGCACCAGAGGATCTGACGTTCTCCGCACAGACCAGGCACACACACGGTGCACAAACGTACATGTAGGCAAAACCCCATACACATAAAATGAAATCTAAGCAATGTAGTGCAGCAAAGCATAGTATTCCATTAGGTGGGATGTCAGTTCCATCAAATTGTATAAACTTGTTTCTGTATTAAAAAGTTATTTATGCGTTTATTCACTTTGAATTAAGCACTTAGGGCTTGCTGGGGAGATGGCTCAGTGGTTAAGGGTTCTTGCCGCTCCGGCAGAGGACCAGAATTGGGTTGCCCCTATATAGGTCATGCCACTCAGAACCAATAATGCTAGTGCCAGGGCGTCTGACGCCTTCGTCTGACCTCCACGTGCACCTGCACATGTATGCGCATATTCAGAGACACCTAAATAAAATTAAAATAAGAGCCAAGTGCAAACATATAAGCAGGTTTCGTGGGAAGCTTTGGATCCCTGTGATTAAGAATCACATAAGTAAATAACTCATGCTCAGTGGTAAAGTAATAGCTACTGTCCTGTGTTTTAAGCTCTACAGGTGGAATATGAAAGGATGTATTGTTTTTCTTTTAGTCCCATAGATATCATTGTGAATACTAATTACTGTACTTTAAAAAAACTCATCATTTTTTTTATTAATTACACTTTATTCACTTTGTATCCCCCCTGTGGTTCTCTCCCTCTTCCCGCCTCAATCCCTCCCTTCCTCCAGCCTCTGCATGCATGCCCCTCCCCAAGGCCACTGATAGGGGAGGTCTTCTTTTCCTTCCTTCTGATCCTAGTCAATTAGGTCTCATCAGGAGTGGCTGCATTGTCTTCTTCTGTGGCCTGGCAAGGCTGCTTCCCCCTCAGGGGGAGGTAATTAAAGAGCAGCCCAATCAGTTCATGTCAGAGACAGTCCATGTTCCTATTACAATGGAACCCACTTGGATACTGAACTGCCATGGGCTACATCTGTGCAGGGGTCTTAGGTTATCCCCATGCATAGTCCTTGGTTGGAATATCAGTCTCAGGAAAGACCCCTGTGCTCAGATTTTTTGGTTCTGTTGCTCTCCTTGTAGAGTTCCTGTCTGCTCCAGATCTTACTGTTTCCCACTTCTTTCCTATGATTCCCTCCGAACAAAACAACTGCCTACAGATTGGGAAAGGATCTTCACCAACCCTATATCTGACAGAGGGCTAATATCCAGTATATATAAAGAATTAAAGAAGTTAAACAGCAAAAAACCAAGTAATCCAATTAAAAAATGGGGTACAGAGCTAAACAGAGAATTCTCTGCAGAGGAATATCGAATGGCAGAGAAACACTTAAAGAAATACTCAACCTCATTAGCCATCAGGGAAATGCAAATCAAAACGACCGTAAGATTTCATCTTACACCCATCGAAACTCGTCATTTATTAAAACATTCAACATATATTTTATGTCGAGGGCTCATTTCACTATATGACACTGGATTGCTGCTCAGTTGATGTATTTGAAAACACCCAAAAAAATGGCTTGAGTTTTGTTTCTGA